TTTTATTTTACCAGGTAAATTAACTGAAAACCAGTTCTCTCTCACTGCTTTACGTGATATTCGGGAGAAATAGCAGATTACGCATTGGAACTGCCTGGGATACAAACGTCATGCGTGTAACTAAACTCTTCAGCCAATAAGGGCAAAGGTGTGTCGTCACGGAGGCGGTTCCAGTTTGTGCAGCCGGGTGAGAGGTCGCAATGCATCTAACCGTAAGGATCAGAATACGGTGTAAGCCAGCGCTGTAAGCAAGTTGAACGTGACAGACCGGACTGGGGAAACAAACTGAAACGCGTACTTGATACAGAGGACTAATGACAACAACCAGAAACAGCTGATCACATGGGGATCCCACACGAGGTTAACGAGGGGGCGTGGCACACGGAAGGAGCGGACAATCGGGGCAGGACAGGGGTAATGTTGGGATAAGATCTTTATCGTTTTGAAAGCCATTAAGAAAAAAATGCTCTTCTTGCTTGATCCTGTTCATTTTGTTTAAATGCTAAAAAAAAACATATTTAGGTGTAATTTTGGGGGGCCGGGAACCAATTAATTGGTTTTCCATTATTTCTTATGGGAAAAATTCGATCAGAACTCGAACTTTTTAGGATTCGATCCGGAGTCCGGAACGGATTAAGTTCGAGAACCGAGGTACCACTGTATATTTATAAGTAACTATTTAAATGATCCTTTCAATTGTAATTTAAAGAATACTTTAATTGTCATATTTATTTATTGTATATTGCCACAAAACACCCTCCACAGCCAGTGGAAGCACACTAAGCCCTAAGCCCTCAAAACCTTGTGGATACAGACGAATCTCCCACGGCAGAAGCATGGCAAAAATCACATGTAGAACGACAACTGTGCCGTGCGCCTGAGCTGTAACTGATGACTGCTCTGTATTTCCAGCTAGTGGAGCAAAATACTTTTCAGCCGTAAATAGCTATGTACCCATTTATATCTACACATTTACCGATCCATGCTCACATTTACAGATTTATCTACACATGCACACATATCAGAATACTTAAAAATCTCATTAGACTTTTAGAGATTTTTTTTTTACACATTTACAAATCTGATTAGGCACACTTCCATTCTGAATACACATTTAAAGATTCCTGTACACATTGGCAAATCTCAGTATGCATTTACAGATTCCTTTACACATTTACAAATCTGATTACTCGGATAATGATTCAGACACAGTTACACAACCCTCCACACACATTTGCAAATAATTTTGCTACAATCATAGCCCCATAGGCACAGTTTTGGCATGAGCTAAGTGCAGGCAACGGCCAGAAAATTAAGTATTGAAAAGTGTGAGGGAATCTTATTCCCAGTTTGTATGAAAGCATGACAACTAGATTTGTGGATAATTTTATCTCAAGGCAGTTTGTATAACTTACATCCCACAATTTCAGACAATAAGGCAGCTGAATACATTGTTTCGTTACCGATGCAGTTACAGATGATTTCCGCTCTGAACGAATAACAATTGATCATCAGCTGGGATCTTCTGGGTCTTGCATCATGGCAGACTGAGCCGTGAAGGCTTCACCCCCAATGCCGTTTCCATCATGGACGTTCCTCTTGTGAGCAGCTGATGCAGGACCCTATGGAGGACGGCCAAGAGTGGCTGAGGAATCTCTGACGGGCTGCAGAAGGTCAAACCCACCACCCCTATTCAACCTTCCTCCCAAACATTCACCTGCTAACTCTCCATCCCTACATCTTTACTTTTCTTCCTGAGATGAAGGACCACTGTGGTGAGAGTGTCATCTGCTGTCACCCTGTCCTGGGTTAGTGACATTGTTCCCAGTCTCCTACTGGTGACCTTGTTTTTGGAGCACCTCTGTACCACAACTTCTCACTCAAAAGGTCAGACCTGACCACCAGCTAAACCTTACTGTGCACTTCAATTACAACAACCTGTCCAGGTTCTGGGTAAATAATTTACAAGCTTATCGAAATAATTACCTCTAACCAGTGACCGACACATCAGCATGAACTGCGCAAGACTTTTTTTCAGAACACTGCACCTTTTCCCACTTAAGCAAAGGGTATTAAACATGAGGATTATCCGACAGCAGGCAGGGGTCAATTACTGGTGCTCCGAAAGGGACAGAAAGTTTGGATCACAACAGAGGAGACAAGCATGTCCCCTATATCATATTTATGGCTTGGAGAATCTCAGAATAGAAAAATACACAGGACTTTATTTAATGTGTAGTTAGACACTTTGTTAAAGACAATTAAGTTATCTGTGACAAAGCACTGCAGTGAGCCTGCTTCCATGCTGCGATGTGAATATTTGCCATGTTCCTAAAAAATTCTGTTTATTGCAGTGTCTGACCACACAGACCTATTGCCAGATGATCATACTGGACTTATCAATTGGACATATTTTGCACTATTACAGATTGATGTCTTGCATATACACAGAAACTGATTTTATAGATTACTCAAGAACATACAATATAATTAATACCAATTTTTTTCACTGTAAAAAAATTCCCGTGGTTGTTCATATTCTCATTATTACTTAATATTTACTTTTAAATACATATATATATATATAACCGAATCAGGCTTAATCAAGATAGGTGATCGATCAGTTTAACGATCCCCAAAATTAACCCCGTGGACCGTTTGTGTATTATGGCTTTGGACTCAACCGGGTTTTATGTAGCTTAGCAGCTACTTTGAAATGAATAAATCGTTGATAGATTGCAATTTACACGCAGCGAGCTGATTAAAAACGAGTAAAGTGAAGCTAAACTCAGAATTAAAGCACAACCGATAAGAGTACAGCTGCTGTAGTTAGTGCGTGTAAAGCGTCAGTTCGAATCTTTAGTGGGATCTGCCATGGACGTTATGCTATGAACATCGACGATTTAATTCATTAGGCCTACTGACTTTTATTGGCTTTTATTACATATATTGCAATTTAATTTTGCTGTTGGATTGCGTATAAGATCGATCGTTTTTATAATCTGGTTTTGCATACGCTTTAGTGGCAACAAGTGAATCTTTTAAAAAACAAAATTATTATTGCAAATCATTTGATTGAAGTGCTAAGAATATCAGAAATACATTAAAGAAATGTGACGTTCATAGTAATAGGATAGGGTTAGGCATTCCAGATCCTGGAGTACAGGATCCAGCAGATTTTCTATCCTATACCAAATAAACTGCGTGAGATAAGGAGCGGTTAGATAGATAGATAGATAGATAGATAGATCTATCTATCTATCTAGCGGATTGTCCACAAAAGAGCCGTTTTTCAGAGCTATTGTGTCAAACATCTCCCTCACAAAAGCAGACAAAAGTCTAAATACACAGCGACTTTGAAAATCACGACTGGGTCGGATCTGTCGTTAGCTGACGTATGACACTACGACCTACTTTACGAAGTTTCCGACAACACTCGCTAATTAACGAAGTGTCTTAACAAAGTAGGCCTATTTCACGTTACAAAGTTTACTGGATGTTTCTAGAAACAGGAAGTTATTTGAAAATGGTAACTAGAGTTTTACGCCGGCATCTGAGGGATAGATAGCCTATAAGAAATGTTATTTAATACGTTTAGCAAACGATTTCTATAGATTATAGGCCTACATAACAAACCCTTGGCGCACGCAGGAGGTGCTTAGTGCGTTATAGTTACCGCAGAAAACTTATCACTTAATATTTAGGCTAATAATTTTACTTTTAGTCATTTCAAACGACTCAGCTACATAGCTTTGAAAAAATATGCGGTAGTGAAAAATATGGGTCAGATATATTATTAGTTATCGCTGCACTAATTATTGGGTGTTGAAATAGGCCTACGTTTCTTTGTCTGATGGTAGATCAGTCACAAATGAATTATTGAGTTGTTTATTATTATGAATGAAAATGGGCGGAATGCAATCCTGAACGCGTTTCACCGTTTAATTCGGCGCCAGGAGATCGCGCAAGTGCCAGTACTGAGCCCTGAACAATAGCAATTGTCGGGTTGTGTCCTTAACCACTGCTACCTGCTCCTACCCCTGCTAAAATGCTTATTCATCACAAGCTCTCCGTGGTTTGTCATATATAGAGACCATAGTTTTGAGTGATAGATTTTTATTAGATATTTCTTCCCTTCCAGTTATTGATTTTATATAGGATTTATGATGCGCTGAGTGCTTATTCTCTTTTTATGTTTAAAAACTGTGCAGCCAGTCATTCAAAGGATTATTAAAGATACTTCACCGTTAAAAAACACAACTTATGACTGCGTATTAGGTCACTCATTTTGAGAAATATCATACAGATGTGTTCCTTGCGTCTTCTGTAGCCTATACTGTTAACCCTCATATTTTTTATCGCGGCTTGTTAATTCTTATACTTGGATTGTCATAGGATGCGCAGGCCTAACTATCGTTTAGTGGTTTTCTAACATTTTGAACGTTACTTTTCAATGACATATACAAACAATTGACTCAATTTGGCTTTAAGTGCCGCTTTAAATGACCGGTATTAAAATGCGTTTAAAATTAGTATTATCTTAATAATTGTCAATGTTTTACGTTTGAAAACAATGCTGGCAGAAACAATCCATTAACGGCAAGCTGTTGGCCCAGTTGCCAATTAAACTCGATGAGATTCGTCAAGAAATCGGACAAGGACGCCCAGCCCTTACCCTGCATTTAATCAATGCCTTAAGGCTTAAGTCAAACAAGCCAATGGCAAAGTCTTTTGACATGATGTACTTGATTTTGATAAGTAGCATTAAACTTAAGGCAAAAACAACGTAGCCTCCTTGAGCAGCTTGTGTATGGCGTAAAGTGGAGGCTGCCGTAACATATGTGATGAACTGTACATTCATTACTAAATAGATCAACCGTGCGTTCAGCATATAACAGCTTCTAAAATGTTACCGTCAAAGCTATTTACTACGCGAAATTTCACCAGTTGAACACATTTTCTAAACGACGATTACCCCATCACCAGGAATACAGCAAATTGACAATGATTGTCTTAAAATACTCCAAAAAATACATTTATTGCACTGGTTAGAAGCGTAGTATCTGAACCCTTTAACTTCACAACATACAACTTGTATTTGCTGCGTTCGTTTATTCTACTGTAATAACAAAGTAAACTTTAATAATAGTGTCATTTGTTGGGTGTGTGTAACTGAATTTCGAGTTACTAAAATGTTACATCTCTGAAAATTGATCTAAAAAATCATTGTAACCAACGTATATATTGTTCCATCGTGACTGATTCCATGGAGTATGTGGAATAGACTTAATGTTCCTAAAAAGGGATATCTGCCGAAGTCGATTAAAAAATACTTTAATGAAATCAATGATTTTTAAAATATCTGCTTTGCCAGTGCATAGAGAGTATTCCCCCGTACTTCACCCATTGTCCCCCGCTGCACTGTTATATTCAAGTTATATTCAAGATCTGTCGAATTGTATTATGACTCCAAGTTTAAGTCACTTCTGTGGAAATGTAAATGATATGATCATAAAAATGGGAATATCATTTCATGTATGTAAGATAGGTTGTATACATAGTGCAGATATACTTTCACACAAGGGCGTAGGAACCAGGTGGGACAGAGGAGGAAGGGAATGTGTACCCAGCAATATTTAATTGTCATACGACGTAGCTATCACACGTTTAAATTATAATTTTAACGTATCGATATTGACAAAATACCTAACAGAAAAGTTTAAACTTGAAACAAGGGTTTTAAATCTATTCTTATAAGCTGATTTCACAGATTTTCTCTGCTAATGAAGGTTTGTATTATAAAGCCAAATATCACTGTACTCTCCATCCATTATTACAGAACTACCGATCAGTTCTGCAGTGTTTTCTGTATAGGAATCTCACTATAGGGCAGAATCGTATTTTAAAAAGAAGGATTTAAACCCCCATCAGTTGAGCTCGAGCCTAAGGTATATGGTCTACACTTACGGCTACAGTATCTTGTTAATAAAGTGCATCGTTGCAGGTTTTCCTTCCCTTTTTGGCAGGGGCGCTATTAATCACGTTTTGAAGTACAGCCTTGGGAAAAAATTCCCGGAAACACGTACTGGCATAAGGTCTCGTATAAAGAGGGGTAAATTCGACTCTCAGGACTGACTGTAACTTTAGAAATTGCGGGTATATTTTTTTCATTCGTCTGGTTTTTGATAAGGTCAATCAAAATAGGTACAGTAAGGTACTTATGTAAGCAGGGGCGCAGATAGCGTTCTCTTAGCTAGATATGGACCCCGATCCCCCCCACCCCCGATTTTGAGGGAAAAAACTAAACTTAGATAAGTAGCATTACTAAATATGTAAATAAGTACTCACAGCATATGGTTGCTGCAGGTACTAGTGCACTACGCGCGCGCATCCCCGTGCCTGCACACGTATTCCCACTTTCTCCCTTCCCCTCTTTCTATAGGCCTACGCAGACACAGTAAAGTGTACTAATTCCTATTGGCCTACACATAGCTTCAGAATTTTCCACTTACTCAGTTACCTACCGATTTAACGAAGGATAAATAACTCAAACACTGATTTCACGTTCTACAACATTTTTATTCAAAAACACCTATACTCCTTTGTGCTGACTCTGTGCATCGTCCTGTCTATGCGAGTTTGAGGACTGAGCTGCCTAATTGTGCCTGTTGCAGTTATGGTCACAGAGCCCGAAGCGGGATGCAATACAGAAAAACACGAAGATCTATCACAGCGTTCTTTCAAACAGAAAACAATGTAAATAGACTTCAATTCTATACGACCTATACTAAGCCTATATGTTCAAAGCAATTGTCAATATGATTTCACCATATCTCAGATGAGCCCATTTATGTTACTGCAACAAAGCTAACGACATTGCAGAGACAGA